ACTAGGTTTCTTTTGTGTGACATCGTTTTGAAAATAAATGTTCTTATCAATCACACGAATTTCTTATAAGAAACTGCACAAGATTGCCAGTAATTGATAATATAATTTTGTATTGATTTTGATCGGGATTTGGTATAATTTCAATCGGGATCGGTCCAAAATTGAAAATTAACAATTTTTCTAAAATTTTCAAATTTCATATCAATTTTTTTTTTTTTAAATATGATTAAGTATCATATCTTTCCTATTTGTTGCGTGTTTCTTAAAAATGTTATCCATAAGTTTAAAAAATCTCATCAATTAATGTGTTTTATTTTAATGAATTATTTTCTATCACAAAAACTAAATTGCTTATTTGACTATTTCTGACAGGTCTTATTAGATACTTTTATTGCGAATGGCAAATTTTGAACTCTTGGAGCCCCAATTTTACATTAACTCCCCAAAAATCTACCAAAGTCGAGATTAATACTTGTTAATCATACTAGAAACAATAACTACTGATTTGAATGACGAGCCAGCTACCTGTGCTACCTGATATTATGAGATTGGATGTTCCTTTAACAATTACCTGACCACGCGTCAAGCTCTTTTATGCGCAGCTTTATCAGGCGTTTGGATACTCAGAAACTCAATTCTTGTAATTGGGAACACGTGACATCCCCCCCCCCCCAAAGAAATTAAAAATGGAATAGAATAATGATAAACAATCAATTAACACTGACAGCATGATTTAAGTTTGAAAATTATGCAAAAATTCTGTATCACATATTTTGGGTGTCATTCTATTTTCTTAAAGAAAAAAAAAAGTAACGAAAAATATAAATACACTACAGTACAAAAATGCCAAATAGTTCGAATTTCCTCTTTTGTCTATATTCGTTTTAATCAACACTTTGTGCACCATTCTTGGCCAGAGAAATAATTTCCCGATGGTAAACGTCCAAACGATGAAGGGATTTGTTTTCAACATTTACACTCACCTTATAATCATTTCTTTTAATGACAATCAAAAAAAAACATTGATAAGATTGCTTTGTAGTTTACACTTGTGATTTTTAGCACATTTTTTTTTTTTTTTTTTTTTTTTTTTGAAAATGATATTTTTAGGATTGATTTTCTTTCCAAAAGATTTCGATGAAAATATTGAGTTGACTAATTTTAAATTATAGCATATAAATATGTTGGTTTCACTCAAAATTAGACAGAAGCATGTGTAATTGTACTGTTTATTCTGATACCCAAAAACAGACTTCCTGTGTAATGCAATGTGTATATGAATTTTTGGCATCTAGAATATTTCGGATCTCCAGGTAAATAATATCAGTATTACTAAGACCGCTCCCTCTCCTCAAGTAACGGTACGGTAAAAAAAAAAAGTAGGTCTTAAATAATCTTTTTTGCAAATAAAACAATTTTTACCTTTTCTTAAAAAAAATCAAAAGAATTAATGTAACATAATTATGAGCTATTATCAATCTTTTCATGATTACACTACTTTTTCAAAAAAAAGATATCTTAGAGGCCCATTAAATAAAATTTTGGTGTAGCGTACCTTCTTAAAATGGTTATGTTTGTCCAGATCAAAAGCATGTTGTCTACATTATATTGAAAGTGCTGCTAGAATCTTTGGTTTAACGTGGATTAAAGTAAATTCTTGGAATATATGCATAGATTGCCAAAAATGGGGCAAGGTTTCTCGCGAATGCAGTGTATAAGTTTTTGACCTACCAGACATTTAGAATCCTTAATCGCTTTTTATGCACCAGGTATGTTCTCGTATATTTATATTTTTACTTACAAAGACGTCTAAACACTTGAATTTTGTTGTTGTATTGACTTTTTATCAATGAATATTTTATGATTAATAGCAGTCACATGATGACTTCGTAATGATGCACTTCTCATTTTACGCTCTGCTGTCTGAACTAATCCTAATAATGGTTAAAGCTTTATTGGTGGCTTTGATTATTTATTAAGGTTAAATCATAAGCAGGCCTTACTTTAAAATTTAATGTAAAAAACAAAATATCTTGCCCTGACATAAAGGTTCCTGCCAATTCCGTAAGCAGCCATTAATGCAGGTTCCATTTGTCTTGTCACACACTCCTTGAAGACAGTGTCCACACCCTCTGCTGCAGTTTGCGTCATAAAACCCGTCAACACATTCTGTATTGGAATTATTTGTTTGAAATGTAGTACTGTAGATTTCGTATTAAAAGTCACGGATATATATTCCTATAAAACGCAAGAAGAACACCATGTGAATTCTAAATTGCATTGGCAAATGCTTAAACAATGGAATCTTGGTTTCACGGCGTAAGACTTAAGTGGGTTAACTTTTCTTGTAAAGTGATTAGATATAAAAATCAAGGTGTTATTGCTATAGTGTATCATTAATGAGCTATTTATTCAACATGTTATTACCTTATATAAAATATCGATTTTCAAAGAAGATTGAACTCGTCGTTAAGACGACAATCCAGAACATATATACTTTAACTCTTTTTTTATCCACTTTATTAAACACATTATTGAAAATATGATTAAACAATACATGAAATTCATAAAATTACATCAATCATGTAATTTTTATTTTTTTTAAACACTTGTCAAGTTCCACTTGATCAGCTCTTAATACCCGTCATTTTCCCAGCTTTTTTGATATCAAACTCTAACTTTTGGATAAAATTGACAGCTTGGTAACCTATTTATCATATAGGGATTTCAAAAGAGATACTTTCATGTGTATTTTTATATGCAGAAAATTCCTGCAGTCATGTGTGTGTTAGATGGGAAATACGTCTTAGTTGTCATAGACTACTGTTCCTGACTCATTGATATGGCCTTTCCACAGACTTATACAAATGCGCAAGTTATCGAAAAGATGAAGAACATGTTTGCACGATGGAATACTTAAAGAGCTAGAATCCTTTAAAGGTATCTGATTCACTTTGGAAGCTATTCACGAATTTGAAATTTACAAATTTCGAAAGATGATTGCAAGTCCTCATTTTCCACAAAACAACTGGAAGGCAGAAAGAACGATATCTTTAAGACGTTGCTATCGTACCGCAATACATCTATAGAAGCGGCAGGTCAAAGCCAAGCAGAACTCATGATGGGTCAAAAGCTACTCAGGGTTTTTCCTGCGCTACCGGAAAAAATAAAACCCAGAATGGATGGACTGTGATAATGTTTTCATTCGTGATTGACGGTACAAGGATCCGTATAAATTCGGTTATAATCATCCTCACAATGTGCATCCATTAGCTGAACTAAGGCCAGGAGATTCAGTCAAAATCAAGCCGAACAAGGACAAATTATGGCTTACTCATGGAACCGTATAGGAGTTAAATGCAGACTTTCTAGGGTTCGTATTACGGGAACCGTTGACATCTTCAGAAAACCGATAGATCTACGTTGTCTGATCACTACTAAACCGATAATACCTACTGAACCGTTCCTTCCAGACGCCGACCCAGTCATGATCATGTCTAATCGCAATTGCGAAAACGGCCTTAATTTTCGAATAACATTCCTTTAATACCACAGTCACCGAAACCATGAGTGGCTCAAAGGCGTAGGGGACGTGCCGTCCAACGTTCGAAGAACCAGAGTCATTATATTGAATATATTTTTTATGGATTTGTGTTCTTACCAAAATATGTATGTTCTTAGCTTGTGAAAATTGATTGTGTATTTGTAGAGATGTATAAATCCAATGTTCTTGGTAATAAGTATCATGATTCTGATAATTTTATCTCACGATAAGTGGCAATGACTTAATCTAGTCAAATGCATGTTGTATTCGTTAGATTTTTTAAATTACCTTTATTTCCTTAGCTGGGAAAGAAAAAAGTTTCCGATTTGTCTCATTCATTTATTTGCTGTAAAATCAGCTATTTGAGTAATATGTGATCTTCATGAATACTCTTGTGTATGACATCACCATTTCTATGTTCATGAATAAATGGTAGATTACACATGTTTGCTTGGTGCTTGATTAGCAAAATAAATACAAAACTATAATGATTAAAGAGAGTTTTATTACTTCATTTTCTTTTTATATTTCAACCTTTCCATACACCTATGACAATACCTAAACATTGATTGATTAAATAAAAAAAAACATATATCATATATCATTGGAATTCGACATTGCACAGTGAGAATCTGTGTTTTGGTATCAAAATACTGGATGACATGCGTCGGACTTTCCTTCATATAATCAGTTAAGGTGGAATAACCAAGGGATTGTTAAAAATATATTTGGGACCTGTTAGTTCCCCAAATATAGACTTTAAATTGATCATCGAACTTTAGCTATAGCTTACACGTCTCACATGGCAGTTTAGTTGGAATCATCCAAGACTTCTAAGATCATTTCTTCAAATGTTTTCAGCTCTACCGTTTTCCCATCACCGAAGAAAGAACTTTACCTGAAGTTGACATGACGGGAAACTAGAAATATCTAGTCTATGCTATCAATAAAGCTTTTGTTTACAGATAACGTATGTAATTTAGGGGAAACAAATACTTAGGACAGGGTGGCTTTTGAAGACTTATGAGCAAATATGTATTATAATGTTTACTGAAGAACTAATAGTTACATTGTTATAGGAGGGATTTCAAATATTCCATCGAAAGTACCATCATAATTAGCTTTTAATTCAAAATATTTTCCGAATTGTAGCAAGCTAAGTGGCTTTACTTAGATAAATGTGAAATTCGTATTTCCTTTGCAGAAGTCATTATGCTTGATATTCCAAACAAGGCAAAACTTGCTTAATTGGCTGAAATAAAACCTACAAAGATCACAAACTCTGATTGCAAAATCATGCTCAAGAGTGCAGTTTCCCTAGATACTTTCACGAGCCAATTATCAATAAACGGATTTTGTTTAATCAAAGAAAGTCAATTCATAAAAGATAAAATAAATTTCATATAGAAATAAATCGCATGATATGAAGTATGTAGAAAATGAATCCGCGACAGACCTTTACAAAGATCTCCTGTCCAGTTTTCTTTACACCCAGACGAACAACTTCCGGTTCTTTTGTCACATGGTCTGTCATCTTTACAGTGTCCACATTGTATACATCCGCCATTGAATGCATACATCCCATCATCACATACTGTTGTAAAATTATATCAGTTAAGTGTTCTTAAGGAATACATCTCTAATTTTGAGTTGATGTGAGGTGATATATAGCATAACAGTATATGAATATAATGAAAATTTTAAATACAACCTCTTTCTTGATATTAAAAGTTACAAAAGTATTCTATTAAAATATACTAAAATTAATGTTTTCATCCATATTTGACACTCTTTGTTATATTCTCCAGATACAATTCTTCAAAATATACAAAAAATGCATACAGCTCAGCTACATTAAGGAAAGTTTAAGTTCACGTCTGTGATGCACCGTACGGTAATTATCATTAACAGTCTATAAAAATCAACCACAGGTTCATGCATTAATAACACTTGCATACATTAAGGTTGACCATTATTTATTTAAAATTACAGAATCTTACTAATTGCTTACAACATTACCGAATAACAAGAATGGAATTTTGTGTCATAAATGACGCCACTGACCTTGACTTAACGCAGTTCAAGTGATATAAATAGATAAGAGGCTTACAGCAAAATTTCTCCGAAATATATCACTTGTGGAGACAATCATTAAATGAAGCACAAGATCTGCCAGATGATACTGTTCTAAAATCTTAAATGGCTATCACAGTTTCCGCCATTTTCAAGATTTTTTTTTTTAATAAAATGGCTACATTTCTTTACTGATCAGTTGGACTCATATACGATCGATATACTGTAATATAAATCGTGTTTTTGCCTTTTTGGTATATATATTGGTTATAACTAAGCTTTGACCAAAACATCTTGCACGAAAAAAAAAACCCAACACATTAGAATCTTAAAGTGTTACATAAATGCAAAAATTGTCAATTTAGCAATGATAGAAAGAAGGCAAGTGGAAAGCATCTGCATAATGCATCTTGGGATGTGAATACAAAAGAATTTCTGCTTGAGCTTCGTAAAGTAAATGTACTTATCAAAGACTCCATATTCGCACATATGAAGATCTATTAACATGCAAGGGAGTCGTTAGATGGATTTATGCAAAACCAGACTGATCTTGTCATGATAAGTCAGATTTGAAAAAGCTCGGACCTCAGTTATGTAAGAGTAAAACGAGGAGCACATGTTAACCATGACCACATCTTCTACTTGGCAAATTGGCCGTCACGGTAGCTCTGTCGGTAGAGCGCTCGCTCCTTGATGGGAAGGCCGTAAGTTCGAATCTCGGCCGCAACTGACCTAAGTCGATAAAACATAGGTATCAACGGTTCCTTCGCCAGGCGCTCGGCACTTTGAAGTGAAAGTTGCGGGTCCTTCGGATGAGACCTTAAAAACCGAGTCGCCGTGGCACGGCATGCGTTGGCACAATAAAGATCCCTCACTGCTCAATGACCCTGAGCGCCGAGTAAAGGTCTACATTTGAAGCCTTCACCGGTATATGATGACGTCTCTATATGAGGGAAACATTCTCGAACGGGACGTAAAACAACATACAATCAACCAATCAATCAACTTAGCTAATTAAAAATAATACTAGCAAACTCAGAGAGAGTGGATATAAGAATCTGCAGTACAATGTTGAAAAACTTAAAGACAGGAATCGAAGAAAAATTCCAAATACAACTAATAAATCGAATTCAAAGTCTAGACACTACAAGAGATCTCGATAAATGAATGGGATACAGGAAAATACATTTTCAAAAACACAAGTTTGGAAATCCCAGCAAAAATGTATTAGATAAAGTGAAAGAATTAAAGTCACTAAAAGTGGCAGAAAGCTAAGGTACAAAAACAATACAAGGATGCAAAAACAAGATTGCAAAGACGTAAGCTTCACTCAAAATATCGGGAGCTAGATAAAGAGGTCGATCATAACTGCAGACCAAAAAAAAAGACTTTAAGAACAATCTTGCTTAGGAAACTGATCTCAAAACTCCGTTGAAATGAAATATATTTGAAGCAGAGAAAACACGGACCTTGAAAAACATCAGATGTGTAATCAGGTGCCATGGAGGTATAAAGCATCCTCTGGTGACCGGTCGCATCTGCCGTGTGCTCCTTTTCATGATGGGGCAAACGGAAATATCCGTAGACAATTCAGTTTTAAATAATGGCATAACAATTAGTATTAAAAACGTCAAAGCATTCAACTAAATGATAGTTTGTAAATGATGCAAAAGGTCCTTGTATCGACCATAGACACTACGAAATGGTGATTTTAAACGAGACAGTTGGTATCCTTGTTCCATCAACTTGAAAAACATCAGAGGTGGTATTCGGTGCCATGGAGAAGTAACCATCCCCTGTCGAACGGTCAAACCCGCCGTGTGCACATTATCATTATAGGGTAAAAGGAAAAATCCGTTGACAATTCAGTGTTTGAATAATGGCTTAGCAATTAGTATGAAAAAAAGTCAGTCAGCATTCGACTTACTGATAGATTGAATTTTTTGACAAGGTCATTGTATTAACCATAGAACTATCGAAATGATGACTTTAAAGACTGTCGGTATCCTTGTTTCCTCAACTTGTTTGTCAATAGCTTGCCTCGATTTAGAAATTGTTTGTACGTGGAGCATGCTCTTGCCTATCGAATTAACTGGGAGATAAAAACCCATTGAGGTGATAAGGATATATTGCATCATAAGTCAGGGAAGCAAGAGATTAAAAAAAATGAAGACATCACATTTATCATAAAGTTTTGTTGTTGTTTTTTTTTTTTTTTTTTTGTTAGGTTACCATTATCTTTTATTTTTGTTTCTATGTTTGCATTTAAGTAAAACATCCAAATATGAAACAGATGTGTCAGACAATTAGGTACCTTTTTCAAGTTCTCTCGGATATATCGTCGACATATAAAAGGAAGTAACTATTGCTAATTGATAATAAGTCGACGATATACAGTACCCGCATCGTTATTCTTTACAATTCTATCGTGTCCTATCGTGCGTTTATCCTATCGTATCGTGCGTGTATCCTATCGTATCGTGCGTGTATCCTATCGTATCGTGTTTTCCGTTTATCAGGTTTTGCGTTTTCTATCGTGTTTTCCGTTTATCAGGTTTTGCGTTTATCTTGAAGATCGTTTATCAGGTTCTATCGTGTATCGTGTTTTGCGTTTATCGTGTGCATTCGGAAACCCTCGCTTTTTATCTTTATCTTGAGAGGAAACACCCGAGGTATCCCGAGTTTATTTTTCGTTTTGTTAATTTATTTAGGATTAATTTAACTGTTGAACAGAATCACAAATTAATACTCTAACTCTGGTATATTTGTTTAAGAAAATAAATAAATAAATAAATAAATAAATGAATAAACGTCAAGTCCCGTGACCAAGCAGAGAGTGTAAATCGAAAGCCAAATTCTATTTTTGGACATGAAATAATCCATCTACTAGTCATTCGTTATTATTTTTCTTTAATTTGTCGATTTGTAAGAAACATTTTTTGTCAAAGATAGAAATATTATACTTCCTTTACACAGAGTCACAAAAGCAAGACATTTATTAACTTTGCTTTGATAATTATAGAAACATAAAGCAGTAGATATGTGTGTAAAAATAAACTATAAATAAAAAAAAAATATCAGCATCATTATTACATGTAAGTCAATCCTTTCTATCAATAACGGAAACATAAATTTTGTCTATGCGCGCAAGTTTTGTTGTTCCTTTTTATTTATTTGTTTCTCTGATGTGTCAACAAGTTAAATTACAGTTTATTTTACATGAACATGCTCCATTCAATTCATCATATGATGATTATATATTTTAATATAGATGTTTGCCATTCATATTTGACTACTACATTTAGAAGACGTAAAAAAAATAAAAAATTAACAAAAAAAAAAAATAAACAAAACCATACTAATTTTTATTATACAACTTACCTATTTCGATGTGAAAATGAAGTGAGTATACATGTATATACCGTAATTAAGTGACAGGTGGAAGCGCTTCCGTGACAAGAGAACTTACACCTTAACGTACCTGCCTAATCAGTACACTGTCTTCTTGTCAGGTCAAGAATCCAACCCCCCCCCCCTTTCCCCCAACATGACCGGCCCTTGTGTATTCAACGTAGACATACCTGAACTCCTCTCTCACCTGGTGTCAGGTATTTACCTTGAATCCTACTAGGTTTCAATGAAATGCATTTTCTTATTTTCTGGATATCGTTTGAACAACACTTAATTAATAATTAAAGATTTTATACTAAGAAAATTGGTAAATGTACACTTCCGTTACAGATTAAAAAATTAATAAGTGAATCAAATGAAATATAGGCGAGTTTTGTCCCCCAAACTCCGTTGATTTAGTTCATTTGTATACCTTTATATTATTTTTATAGGTTTAAAGTATTAAACATTATTGGTGTGATCAAATTTTTAAAAAAAAAATGCGCTTGTGGTACTTCCGGATCTTCGGGTTTTCTATGTAAAATAAAAAAAGAAACATTCTATTAATCGAAGAATATGGTAAATAATTCTTAGCAGAAAAATACGAACATTTGCCTCGCACGATTTTTTCTTATTAAAAAGGCGCCTCAAAGATACATGTAAAAAATTAAAAGAAATCGCCTGGATCTGCCGTGATGCACAATGCGAGTAAATACCTTGAATTTAATATTAATGTTTATCGATTGCATTTAATACTTGAATATGTTCAAGAAGTCAATATATATTTTTATCTATTTATTTATTTATTTATTTATTTATTTACTTATTTATTTATTTATTTATTTTGCTCTTTGAATTGGATCTTTTTTTGAGTGGTTATGGAACACTCCCCTTCTTCCCCGCTGACTATGCCTCAAGTGGGATTAAGACTTTCATAATTTATTACAAAGTTTTGTCTAATTTTGCCGATGCAGTTCTATATAAGATAAATTTTGTAACAATTAATACAAAGTCTAATAGCAATAATTTACAATTCTTCAGTCCGAAAATCCACTTTTCGTATTGTGGAAATTAATTTATATTTTTGTGTGTGTGTGTGTGTATGTTCTAATATGTTGTATACAAGAGTAT